GTACCTGTACCCATGTACCTGTACCCATGTACCTGTACCCATGTACCCGTACCCATGTACCCGTACCCATGTACCACATGGGTACGGGTACAGGGGTACAGGTACATGGGTGCAGGTACAGGGGTACAGGTACATGGGTACATGGGTACAGGTACATGGGGTACATGGGTACATGGGTACAGGTAGATGGTGTGAGCGCTGATACATGGTGAGTACATGCATATTGCTTTGCATGCAGATGTTGAACAAACCATCAAACTAGCTACCAATCATAACAATCATTGAAGCAACATCAACAGAATGTGTGTTCAATCCTGGCCTTACGGCAGATAAGACAATGAAGACCAAGAGGACACCGCAAACATCCAGCTTCCCATGCCACCATAGTCTTCCATTGATGCTCTTGGGATTTGGATTGGTCATAGGGAGCAGGCTCTGTAGACCAAACACCGCACCTCCGACACTTCTTGGGGCAATAGTCATGTGGCAAGTCAATGTCCGCTGGAGGCGCGGGAGCTTCGGCAAGACCTTCTGGCTTGCCTGGTACACCCACTGTAGACTTTCCAGCCAGAGAACGTGGCATCGCTGTCCAGCAAAGTCAAATCACTCCAGCAATGGATAGGTTGAGCTAAGTAGGCAGGAAGAGAGTGTGGTCAAGGAAATAGTCTGAACCTCTTCTTCCCACTGATGTTGCTATCGGATTGAGCCATACCGAGAAAGCAGCAAATACAACTTTAGACAAACACAACAAGATCCATGTTCAGTTCGTCTTTACATAAACTAAGCAGAGTTTCCAGCTGTGAGGAGTTCCTTGACAAAAGGATTCAGAGACTCGGCTCGATTAGGATAAGATCAATAAGATCATTAGGAAACAAAACATCTGATGGAAACAACCGGCAGTGTTTCAAGTCAACAAGAGTCAATAATTTTCATCTTTAACGTTCCCCGTTGGTTGGTGAAGCCCGACTTCAATGAATTGCAATATTTGCACTTCATTCAGCAAACATTTGCTGACAGGCAATCAATCTGCCTGACCTAAAATACATAAATTCCATGCATACACAAATAAAAACCATTCAGCATCCACGTAGCATCCACTCAGCTAGTACCTATGAAGGCTTTGAGCCTCAGCATCAGCGTATAACACCGTAGTTCATAGTTGTGTGTGTAACAACAAAAGGCATACAACAGCCGACAGCTGATCAATCAGCACTAAAACAAATTATGGCCAGCTACTGTGACTTGTGAGCATGTGCATCATCTCTGTCTGGAATGTTTCTGCCTGCTTCCATCCATGCTAAAATGGATTGTTCTGAGTTGTCCTGTAGCTTCTTCGCTGAAATCAATGCAACACAATTCCGGTGCAGCCCTCAGCCGAAACAAGATTCAGCCAGACAAACATATAGTCACATAGTCATAACATATAGTCATATAGTTTGACAGCAACAACAACCACTGATTTTGTATGTAGCTATTCTTGAAGGTTTTGACAAGTGTCCGCAACGAACTGAAACGGAATGGCCTGGTTGACCAGCTCGTATCTCAGTGATTCGACCTCAGGAAATTCTATATGAACCAATCTTCATTGAATATGCTATGATATATTGAGCTCCCTACCCAAAGGATATGGCTTCGAAGATTTCTCATTGAAGACCCAGCAGTATCCATTTGCATCTCTCCAAGGATGTGTATAGGATACGACAGGAATAGGGCATGAACCCTTGAGAGACGAAGAAGCTTGAGTGGAACTGGTCGCAGTTGCATCCTTGGACTCCACTGACATGGGCCCCAAATGGTCAGCAAGCGCATTGCTCCAATCCTGCATGAGTTCAGTGTGAATCCGCTCATCTGCTGCAACAGCAGTCTGAGTTTGAGTCTGAGTCTGAGTCTTGGTCTTGGTTGTAGATCTCTGCAACGTTGCTGTTGTTGCCCCTCTGCTTGCGCTGCTCTTCCCTCGACCCCTTCCTCTGGCTCTAGGCAGTTCCTTTCCGGCAGCACGACGTATCAACTGAAGGCGTGACTTCAAGTCATCGTCACTGCTGGACTCTGGCTCATCATTGACTTGAGGAGCCGGAGAAAATGAGTCCAATGACTGATGATTTGAAACCTGAATTTCACACAAGGACAAAGCACTGTATGTAGCAGTCTTGAACCGCACAGGCTGATCTTTATGCTCATGAGAACTTGCGATCTTGTAGATCAGGCAACTCAATGTATGAAATTCAGGCATCTCATCAACCAATGTCAAGCGAGCAATGCCGGTTTGGCGTGAAGTCCAGTGCCATGTTGTTGCTGTGGCATCAAGAGGAGAGAATGATAGTCTGGTGAGCAAATAGATTTCCAGAAGAACATCTTCTTCATTCTCGAGAGACTGAACCAGTAGCAAGGGAACATGCTCAGGCACGAATCCCTTACTCCGCCGAAATGAACGAGCAAGTCTCAATGCATTTTTGGCATCTTCCATCAGTTTGATGTACAGCATACTACCCGTTTGCATCTTGCAAAGCCCAGGCCCCAGTATACATTGACAATGCGACTTGTCAATGTCTGCTTCATCATCTTCAGGACCCTCGTGCTCAATGATATGACGGTGTTCTGATTGGAAGGCTAAGTGACTATCGTTCATCCAGTTGCCCTTGTGGGATGCCCTCACAGCATCAACTTCGTTCTCTGAAATTGCGTAGTGTTCATCTCCCAATGAAGCCAACGATAGCTTGTTGTTGGGAGAAATCAACGGAATGACTTGCTCATCTCGGTCAGCTTGCATTTGGGCGAGCAGGTTTGCTTTCATGCGTGAATCCCGGTTCATCAGCAGTGCCTCGCTGGAATGGTCCTCAGACAATGATTTATTTATACCATGAGACTTGAGACTATGATACATAAATTATAAACAACTAATCAATTAGAAACATATCAAGGACTTCTTGAAAGCTAAGAGAATATACAACTGAAACATTGGTCCTCCCGATCGCATTCATGTGTTCTCCACTCGATGGAAGCTTCTCGCCATGCACGTAGTCTGGATGTATTATTAGATTCTCCAGGAAGAATGACCTAACACAAGTCATATACACTCAATATCTTCGTGAGAATGAAGCAAATGTGAGCAGGTAGCATCTGAACTAAGTCCCCAACACGTTCCTTCAGCTTCTTGGATACAAACCAGGTAAAACCATTGTAGGAGCGAACCGTTGATTTTCCTGCGCAACCCACAAAAATAGAAAAGCTAACATAAATGAGAGTTTACTAGTCACTAAGATACCAAGAGAAATCCATCCTAGCCTGATCCATCGATGAGTTGCATTTCAGATGCAGATCGTTTCTTCTCCAGTGATTCCAAGCACTCGTAGCGGTGTTCACGCTGGATTTCAGTCAAGATGAATTTAGCAACCTCAACCACACAGCTTGTCGTACTTGAATAGTAGCTGCATATGTAAATTATATATAAGCAAAAATGATATGAAACTGAACTCGCAAATGCAAAATAAAGCTGAGTCCAGAGAACAACTGCTTCCTGACCATGTGAATTTCCTCTGCATACCCTTGGGCAAGGCGATCATACACTACACTAAACAGTTCAAAGTTGTCAATTGAAAATATCTCAAAAACAACTTGAAACCTAAGGAATGCACAACCTTTGGCATGCTGCTCTTGCAAAATTACATTCCACCTCACAATTGGATAGTTTCCGCATCGATGTAATCTTGACCTCAAGAAAAATAGTAGAGAGAAACGAGTTAGTTGACTGTTTGACTTTGTCAAACACACTGCCTGAGATTCACACAGCATCATGCAACTGACCACCTTCTAGAAGCTCTTGCGGAGACAACTGATGATCCTGATCGCAGCACTCCAACCTACCCTAAAGCCACCCGGCAGTCCAGCACCACCACAAGAAAACAAAACATTGACACCAACACATCAATTCAAGCCTGCATAAATGCCCGCAAACGACGCGAAAATGATGGATCAAGACAGCATAAAGAAGCTTCACAGAACTCTTTGGCCACCGACAATGGATCCACAGTGTTGGGATCTAGAATAGTCGAAAGGCGATGAGGCCAAGCCTTCCCACTATGCTGCAGCTACACTATGCTCCAACGTCAAAGTCTAACTGAGTGCATGAGCGCCTGGCCTGAAAAGGAAGAACCACCCTATGCCACAAGTGTCCAACAATTGAATGGAGTGTGAAGAACGCAAGGTGCACAGAGATCTCGTCAAAGTCTGGCAATGACTCCAATGGCTCCAATGACTCCACAACACAGTGACAAGCGCCTGCCATGCATGGTATTTGAGGCCCAGTGGCCATGGCCATGTATTGGCCAATAGCCTGAATGGCTGGAGACCTCAAGTTTCCGATCTATCTACTATTGTTTCCGAGTACTTTGATATATATTCCAAGCCATAGAAGCTGCTGTCCTGAACAATTTCTTGAAACACTAAAGACTAAAGTACTTGCCTTGTCATGGAAGCAAAGCAAACTGCTGGAAGCAGCTCCGGTGTTTCTCCATTCAACCAAGACCGGCTCTTCTGTTCGCGGAACAGGTGGAACCTAGGCGTTGGTGGAAACCAACTGCTATGGCCCATGGCTATCCACTTGGATATCCACTTGGATTTGCAATGAAATATATTTGCAATGATAGACTCTCTTAGGCCCCGACAAAATGCCTTCAACAGGACCAAGCATGATCGCTGATATGATCAGATGTGGAATAGTCAGAGGTCGTTCAACAAAGGATGTGGCCCTTTTCGTGCGGACACGCTGAATCCTTTGATATTGCGCTGCATCTGTTTCAGCCACACCCAATCCTGATACGATCTGCAATTCTGAGGTCAGTGCAGTTGTTTGCGATTTGCTGCCCTTAAACAAAGCCA